CTCTCCCGTGGCCGGAGATGCGCATGTCGTTTGGAATTCATAGAGTGGCGGGAATTCAGAATTCGGAGGCGATGAGTCACAATACCGATACACACCTCTATTGGCTGCCGTCAGGCTGGTCAACACGACCGACAGTAGTCAATGAGCCAAATGCATTGGAATCCATTCCGACCGATTCATTTCGTACTCTCAACTCTCCCTCCAGATTTCACCACCCCTCTGCTAAAGCTCAAACTTCCCACCGATTCAAAGCCCATCCTTTCTCGTGGTCGTCGTTAATGTTGAAGGGTTGATGCCCGAAAGCATAACTCGTGACAATGAAGCTTCCACAACAGGCAGTAATGCACAGAAATTCTGGTCTCATGAAGGAATGTGTTCTATTCATTTTACATTTCACGTTACGCGCCTAAAACGAGTTTTCGATTTTTCCTTTTTGTGTCGGACTTTTCTAAAATTCATCGGCTTTATTGTTGTGTTAGTAACGTTAGTAGTAGCTTTCTAAGATTTAATAAATAGGGGAGTGTGTCCAGTAGGGTGTCCCAAAAAAAAAAAATTTTTTTTTATTGGGTCTCATCCCCTAAAAATCTTTTAATTTGTGTAAAAATAAGAACACAATATTTGGAAATAAAATTTTTTAATATTAACCCGTAGTTCAGAGCCTTTGAACCATAAAAACGCTAAAAATTTAGTGTTTTTTCATTTTTAACATAAATATAAATGTCAAAATATAATGATTAGGGTGTCATTGTAAAGATAATTAAATTACCTTTCGATCCATATGTCACAGTATAAGATTCAATGAAAATTAAGAGTGTTACAGTCGATTAAAGATCAAATTTCATGGAAATTTTGATGATTTTTAGACACTTAAGTAACTAGTACTTTTTTCACATTAAACAGTAAAAAATATTTAGATTTTAATTTTTTTATTGAGAGTCTAACATTAGAAAAATCCGTAATTTAATCGTCGATTAAATTCGTCTCAAAATCCGTTACCCGATTTTGAGACGAATTCAATCGACTTTTATGAAGTTCTCCGCCATTTTGAAATTTGAAAAACTGACATTGGACTCTAAATCAGCGACTTCAGTATTTCTTGATCACTGATTTTAGTAAGTTTAGTGGTTATATATAAATTTATTGTTTCAATTTTTGCTGCAAATCTTGAAGGAATGATAAAAAATAAAAAAATAGTTTCGTTCACTAAATCTAGTGTATAATTGTCATATTCAATCAAATCGAGGTCCACAAGCGCTAAAAATTTTCGTAATGTTAGACTTTCAATAAAAAAATTAAAACCTAAATATTTTTTACTGTTTAATGTGAAAAAAGTACAAGTTACTTAAGTGTCTAAAAAATAAAAATCATCAAAATTTTCATGAAATTTGATCTTTAATCGACTGTAACACTCTTAATTTTCATTGAATCTTAAACTATGACATATGGATCGAAAGGTAATTTAATTATCTTTACAATGACACCCTATTCATTATATTTTGACATTTATATTTATGTTAAAAATGAAAAAACACTACATTTTTAGCGTTTTTATGGTTCAAAGGCTCTGAACCACGGGTTAATATTAAAATTTTTTATTTCCAAATATTGTGTTCTTATTTTTACACAATTTGAAAGAATTTTAGGGGATATGACCCAATAAAAAAAACTTTTTATTTTTTTGGGACACCCTAGTGTCCAGTTGTGAGACACCTCCAGTTGTGAAACAGTAGACTTTTTTAACACGCAATATTAAAAAGCCGATTGCGTTTATATGAAAACATTTTTTTTTATATGAGCCAAGTTTTTCCTGTACGCCGAAACGGATATATAAACTAATTAATATATCTATAAGAAGTTATCAATCCTCCAAGTCATATAAATATATATAAACTGTTTATGGATATATAAAATGTTTGTGTTAAATACCAACACTATGTGCGATAATCGACTAAAAAGCATTTTTTCAATAAATGTAAAGTACTTTTTTCCAAGTTAATTAATTGGAAAAGGTAAATGTAATGCATTTTCATTTAGTATTTTCCTTATATTTTGTGATGCAATATTGCATTATTCCAATGTACGGTTGAAAATAATTTAATTTTTCTTTTTCAAAATTATGTTGTTTCATTTTCTAAAGGCAAAGTTAGATCATATAACTATAATACTATTGATGGTCAGAACTTGGAAAGAGTAACAAGGGTGCGTGATTTAGGTGTATTATTCACTAGTAATCTTAGTTTCAATGATCATGTTACTAAAATTGTTTCAAGGACCTTAGGGTTTATAATTAGATGTGCTTCGCGGTATTTCGTGGTCTTGCAACAATTAGAATATTATACTTGATGCTTGTCAGATCAATAATTGAATACGCATGTATAATGTGGTCTCCTTTTTATGTCTTCCGCATAATCAGAATTGAACGTGTTCAAAATAAATTCCTTAGATTTGCTGCGAGAATACTTAATATTCCATTTGATTATCGTACGCATGATTATGAAGATTTAAGAACTTTAATGAATATTCCTCTTTTGACATCTAGATTTCATTTCTCTGATATGTCTTTTTTGTACAGACTGATGAACGGAGCTATCTATTGTCCCTCACTTCTATCTATGGAAAATTTATCCGTTCCTAGAATGTTTACTAGACGTTATACGTTATTCTCAGTGGCGTTTCATAGAACAAACTATGGTAATAATTCATTAATTGATCGAATCACTAGAGAAGCTAATTTAATTTCTAATGAAATAAACTTCTTTGATAATAATGCTACAAGGTTCACAACGGCATTGCGTAACATAATGTTTACTAGAAACTGAGATTATTTACACATAATAAAGTTTCAACCTAGATTTAAGTAAAAAAAATTATTGTTTATATTAGATTTAGGAGTACTTTTGTACAAAAGGGCATGTCCCGTTATGTTTCTTAAATAAATAAATAAATAAATAAATAAAATAGTTCCAATTTCTGTGTGTGAGACACAGCATATCAACAGTTGTGAGACGGTGTCAACACCCATCTGGGCAGCATAAAAAATACGACTTTGCAGGCATAATATTTAAATGTTGTTTTGATATTTTTTCTAGTATTTTTGGGCATGTCAAGTGGAAGAAAGTCAACCGGTTCAGAAGAAATCAATTTTAATGCTCTTGTTGAAGCTATTAAATTGTGTTTATTTGATAGTCATATTTTGGCGAATAAATATTATTATTTAGTATATAATAATATATATTATTAATATATTTAATTATTTATACTAAATATAAGGTTTTATGTCAAACTTTTTGAATTTTAGCAATTTTTAATAAGTGTCTCACAACTGGACAACATTTTTTTTTGTTGACAAAAGCGATGTGCTCAAAAAATAGATCATAACTTTTTTTGAGTTCATCTGAACACTATACTTTCTTTAAATAAAAGTTGCATATTTAAGTTGCTTTTCGAACGGTATATTTTATTTACAATTTCGTTTACCCATTTAAAATTAATGGGTAAAAAATAAAACCCGTCTCATACCTAGACACACTCCCCTATCAATTTATAATGTAATATATGGTTAATAATGTTGTGCAATGCATACATATGTATGTATTGTATAAAGCATTACTTAGTTGGTTGTTTTAGTAGAAACAATCAGAAAACAACACACTAAACGATACGAATTCATTTCATTGCTCTGAATCAAAATTAACTTTATGAAATATATAAATAATTTTCAAATATTAAACATAGTGCAAAATGTGTCAACCACACTTAAAGACAAATTCAGTGATCAACCCCTATTCAATTAAATTTAATTCTTTAACTAAATTAATCTTATATGTATATGTTTTGCTTCCTCATAGGAGATCATTGCATTGGTGAAAATTTTCAATTGTGATTCTTTGCAATCTTGCGATTTAATTTTATATCATGAGTCAGAAGAAAGTGTTTTTAAAAAATGTCCGTATGTGTAAATGTGTACTAACATAACATTAGCCTCAATACCTCAGAAAATTATAGCTTTATTATTATGATTATTATTTGTATTGAACAATTCAAAAAATTTTATACTTTTTCTCGAAATTAAAATTTGCCGTATTTTACCCTACAGAAAAATGTACAATTTTAATTAAATTTAACTTAAAAGTATACTATCTTAATGAACAACAAGTTTCTTAAACTAAAATCAATAGTAGAAAAAAATATATTTGAGAAAATTGATGCATAAAAATTAAAAAAAAAAATTTCCTCTTAGCGTAAAAAATAAAGTGTAATTTTGAAAGTTCAAAAAAAATAAAATTGACTTTTTCGTCTGTGGAAAGTTAGCGTGAAACTGTGTAAATAATATAATTGACCTTTTAACTATTTGCGGTACAATATCGCTGAGTACATAATAGTGCTTAAGTTATACCTATATGCAACTCTATTAATGTGGACGTTTGTTTCCACAGTGATTAGTTGTGCTTACGAATTATTTGCTTGTCACAAGTAAAATGTGGTCCATATTCAACGGGCCTGTACCCGTGTCCAATTTCAAAGTAAGTTTCATAATAGAGGTTCTCTGTACGGTTATACTGAACAGGAAATTTCGATTTGAAAACCCCACGGAATATTCATTCAAAACTTTCTATGAAAACATCACCATTAACGAATTCAACATTTTTTTTATTATTTTCAATCTAAACTTATTATAATTCAGTTTTTAAAAATCCTTTCTGTTGTCTTTTTGGAATTGTTATACTCAACATCAATATAAAAAATTTGTTTTTTTCTATAAATAATTTAAATTCTACATAAATTCTTATAAAAACTTACAAAAAAATTTTATAATTAAAGTAATTTGTTAAATATAGCAAGTGTTGCTTTTATTAAAGATTTATTGATTTTTCTTGATTAGTAAAATTATATAGATTACAATGAAAAAAAGCTTCTATTTTTATTTTTACATCAAATTGAAAATGAGTTTTCATATATAATGAAGATCTAGTAATTAAAATATTCATTAAGGAACTTACCGTGTTAGGGGACCAGTGGTGAGGCCATGTTCTTGTCTCATGACTTGCACCAACGGCGGGCTGACTAGCCAAAAACACTACTCTCCTATCAGTACTTCCGCTTCCGGATCCAGTCGTTGCTAACAACGCTGTTCTTGGTCTCGTTCCGCCTAAGGCGAGGGTTGGCGACGTCTCCATATTTTATCTGAAGCATAACAAGAAAATATCTGTACACTCGCACTGAAATAAAAAACTCATCTGTACAGGTAGAATTATATGTCTATTTTTTCCATAATGAATTATTAATAAGCTGATACTGGCTACTGACATAAATTATATACCTATAATTCTTTTAATATCGGTTCTGCAATACCGAAACCCCCAACTATGATAGATACGTTAGACACAATTCTTTCCACGTCAAAAAATTCCATGGAATTTCCGTGAAAATTCTGCAAGTTTTATATTTTTATATTATTTTAACATTTCTATTATATGATTATAGTCTAATAATAATAATCTTTGTTGCAATTTATTTGCAAAACTTGAACGAAATACGTATTTTGCAAAATAATTGCAACAAAGCTTATTATTAGACTCTGTTACGTCCGTAACTTCTTGTTAATATACCTAATTTAACTTCGATACTTAAGAATGTATTTTCTATTTTTTTGATATTGTATTTTACTTATACGTTGTATTATTATTCTATGTATTTCATATTATTGCATTGTAATTAGCATATTTTATATATCTCATATGTATCTAAACAATTTGCAAGTATAATGAATTCAAGAAAGATGAGTAATATTTTAAATCATGTAAAAAGAATAACGATAGTGCATCAGTTAAACGACCTTCAAAAAATCTTCGCCACAGGCAGGAAAACAAACAAGCATTGCAGTCGCCGACACCCCCACTTAAAATCTACCCAAAATCGACACGTGTAGAAGAGTCAACAGTCGCCCCGAATTGCAGCAGCATTGCCGTCGCCGAGACCCCCACTTAAAATTCACACTTGAATGATTTCAAAGCATTACATTAATGAAGACAGTTTTATATAAAAGGGATACAAATTCTGCAGATATCAGAGAGTAACTATTTAGAAATCAACCTGAACACATCGTTCAGAACAAGAGACTAGAGAGTAATTTTTTGGGAATCAACCTGTACACATCGCTCAGTCATTATCAAATTGTCTACAAGTAAACATCGCATAGTTTACAAGTGAATTCAAAGTACATCTTTGAAAGTGAAACGTATAACCCCAAGTATTATTTTGAACGTACATTATTAAAAGTGAACTATTTCCCCAAGTATTAAATAAGAAGTGAACTTTAAACAACCTCTTATAATACATTTGCAAAGTATAAATTTTAAACAATTTCCAAAAAATATTAAATTGGAAATAATCTCAACTATCAACGAACACCTAATATTGAAACAACACATTCCAAATTTCGAACTATCGAAATTTGCTCAAGAGGCGACAACCGTCTGGAAGGAAGCAGATATTTTAACAATACAATACACTATCTCATTAGTGTAAACAAGAGGTCTAATACCCAACCACTAAGGACAACAAACAAAAGGCCCCTTTTCGTCTACCGCTCAACACCATTGAGATCGGACAACAGATTATCATCACACTACCAGTAATCGTTATTCTTTAAGTAGGATTCATAATTTTTGTACTCATTGTAATTTTGTCAACTCTTTTCTTTCTTGTTGGTTTTTAAATAAATTATTCTCTCACATTTAGTAGGCTCATTGACTTATCCTCATCCCAAATTGGATTCATTTATGAAACCAATTTAAAACGAGGAACGTTAGGTATATTTAAAAAGGTTTCTCGTTTTGACGTAACAACTCTAATTATAATAGAAATATTAAAATATTATTAAAATAAAAAAACTTAAACCATTTCCCTGACCCTAAAGAATATTCTGATGCACTCTAAAAATGATTAGTTACTCAAAAATTGTTCTATTACATTCAATTACGAATTTTTTTAATTGTAAAATTATTTCAAAACTCCAAAAAATTCTTTTTTAAATAAATAACTAATCATTATTATTATTATTATTATTTCATTGGAATTAAGATTTTCAAAAAATTTCCAATTTAAATCTTTATAAAATTCAACAACTTATAAGAATATTATTATAAAACATGAAGATATCGATCACTCCGAGTCTAAGACTCGGAGTTATTAATATCTTCATGTTTTGTATTAATTTAAATTTCCATAAAATTAAAAAAAAATTGTAATTATTTACAAAAATTTTAATAAAATCCTTCCTAAAAATTCAATTAGGTATTTAAAGAATTAAGTAATAAAATTCGATGTAAGAATTTAATTATTTTCATAAATAATACAATTTTTTATAGTATTTCAATTATTTTTAATATCATTTTAAATAAATTCCTCGAAAAACGTAATTATTTTCAAATTTTTTTTGCGAGAATTCAATTACATTTCATAAATAATGAAATTCATCGTTAAAACTCAAATATTTTCAAAATTTACTATTTTAATCAAATTTCTAAAAAGAATTCAATTATTTAAAAAAAAGTATATAATAAAATTTTTTTACAAGAATTCAATTATTCTCCTAGATAATAAAAATTTTCACAGGATTTCAATTATTTTTAATACAATTTTAAGTACATTCTTCGAAAAATGTAATTATTTTCAAAAATATTCAAAATTTATTTATTTCTGAAAATTTATGCCATAATGCTTTTAATATTCAATTATTATGTAAAATTTTAATTGAAATACATTTTTAAATAAATTTTTATTTGAAAATTCTGAGAACTGAATTATGTATTTAAATACAAAAATAAATAATTTATTGAAAAAATGAATATTTTTCAAAATTTTATTTTACTTTTGAAAATAATTGAATTTCTGCAATCATTCGTAACTGCTTTTAAATTTTTCCAGTACTTTAAAAAAAATTTCTGACTTTTCTTTGACCTGTGGCAACCCTGAAAATGTTAAAATATTTTAAAAATAAAAAACTTGCAGAATTCCCATTGAAACACCATGGAATTTCTGTGGAATTTCTATGGAGATTTCATGGAAATTCTGCAAATTTTTTATTTTAATAATACATTAACATTTCTATGACGATTAGAGTATCATAATAAACTTTTTATAATATTTTTATTTTTTGCTGATTAATAATAGGGGCGTTTCATGCACAGGGCAAACTTTGAATATCAGATTTTCTTCATATTTTGCCACTGTGTTGTCTTAGGAGACATAGAAGGAGTTTACACCGTAAGCCTTAAATATAAGCCTCCGCGCGCATAAACGGATATACCTCCAGGAGCATATATTTGCGCCTGCGCGAACACGTGGTCAAGGCAAACTCTTTCACAACACAGCTGCAGGCAAACACTTTGCGCAGACGCAAGTATATCCTCATGGAGGCATATCCGTTTATGCGCGCGGAGGCTTATATTTAAGGCTTACGGTGTAAACTCCTTCATACATAAGTTGTGATAATAGTTTTGCAAAATTTCGATTATATTGCAATATATGGTTATTTAAACATTTAAGTCACTTTTTTCAACAATTTTTATTTCGAAATCTATTATAGTTACAAAAAATGTTCAATATGAAAATTGTAGGGAATCTATAGAATATTAATAATATTTTATTGGAAAATAAATAATTAATTTTTTTAATTATTTTATTTAAACAATAAATTTTAAATAATTTTATTTTACCAAAAGTCCCAAAAATTTTTTCTCCAAAAAATATTAAAGTGAAAGCTTAAAATGTCCTTAAAAATATCTGAAAATTTCTGAGAGGTGTTTTTTGATATTCGTAAGAAATTAATTTTTGAATTTTGCATTGCACGGTCGTGCCCACGCGTCGAATGTGGCAGCGTCGGGCAGTTACTAACTATTGATGTAAAAAAGACTTAAAACATTCAGGATGACAAGTTTTAATGGATATCTTTTTATTTGCATCCTTGTTTTTTGTTAATTACAATTTATTATAAAAATTTTTACTCAATTCCGCACCACTCAGTTTTTGGCGCTTTTATTAAAAAAATGTTGTATTCCCTATAGGCCTAATCTACATATTGTTGTTCCTTATATAGTTTATTATAATTTAATTAAATTTGCTATAATAAATGTTTATATAATATCCATTATATTTCGATTAAAGTCGTCGCCAACTAATCTTAAAAAATTATAATTTTTTGCAGGTATGATTTTGAAAGTATTGGGATCACTAAACAAAAATAATTTTTTAATATTATTAATATTTATTGTGAAATAAGCATCGAAAGTATATATGAGATCTAAAAAATTGTCACTTTTTCATGTATTAGAAAATATTAAAGAAGACACATAATTTACTATGAAAATGTAAAAAACTTATTACAATTTATTAAGATTGATTTAATTTAATTGTTAGATACAATTAATGATAAGGTATATTAAACAAAACGAAAAAGTTTAAATTTAATAAAATTGTCTCTAAAAGTATTTGGGTTCAATGCGAATTTTTTTCCAGTGTATCTATTTAGTGATCAATTAGATATTGTCCAAGAATTGTAAATTTTCCTTTTGCTCTAAGACAGTTAGTTACATTTAAAAATCGTGAAAACAAGCATAGTGACAATTTTAATTGCTTGTTCTTTCATACTGATAAAGAAAAATGGAAAAAAGTGATAAGAAAAACTAATAGTTAATCACAGGTACTTTATATTTGGTTAGATTTCATTCAATTTAATGTTTTATCTTTCTCTCATTTAGTGAATGAAATTTGCAAAATTAGGTTATTTGACAGGCGAAATTTAAAATAATTTTTCTTTTAATATTTCTTATCATTAATTGTTTCTATTAATTAAATTAAATTAATCTTAATAAATTCCAATAAAAAGTATGATTTCATTGTATACCTTTTTGGGTCTTTACAATCTCCTCAACATCACTACTAAACTTTCCTAACTCACAAACTCTTTGGGGTCCCTACTTTTGCGGCTGCAGCCGACTTAGGTTAGGAGTACTCGCATTCGCCTGGACATTTGGCCAGGGGAGAGGAAAACTGCAGAAAACCCACTTCCCGAGTACAACCGGTTTATTGACGTCGAGTCATGAATGTACATTTGGATAGCCATCACAAATGCCCAAACATAGCCTCGGGCGTCAAACCTCCCGTTTGATATATCTCGATCA